TAACATGTAAAACATAATATATTACCAATTGCTTAAAAGAATAGAGAAAATTAAGATTAAAAATTAAGATAATAATTAGAAAAAGACTGAATAATTGAAATTATAAAATATTGTGTACTCATTTAAAATTCAAATATTTTCAGTTAATATATTAGTAATCATATATTACTTTATAAGTGATAAAAATATAACAAATTTATACTCATTTTTATTTTGAGAATGGATTTTGAATAGTTTAATATAATAATCTAGTAAGATCTGATATATTGTTTTATAATGTTCCAACAATGTTGTATATTAATTCTACAGTTGTAATAATTGATTAATAGAGATTAGTTATTATAGCAATAACAATTGCTATTACATACATATATAATTGAATCAGTAAAATGAATTTATAAAATAAGTTCTCATGAGATAGAGCATATCTCACATATAAATTAATATAAGTGTATATCCTCAAAAATAAATCAGATATTAATATAAAAGGGAAAATTAAAACACTAATAAATAATGCTAATGAGATGCCAACAATAAACTTAAGAATTGTTAATCCAAATTGTTTTAGCCTAAAGTTAGATTTAATATTTTAATTTCTTTCTACATCTTAACTTTAAGTAATTTTATTTCCTTCTTATTTCTTATGTTTTATTACTCTAAGTAAATTCAAAACAAAAAGAACAATATTCACATTAATTTTCCATTATTTTATAGCATTTGAATTCCAATTAAATTCTTTTTTCGTTTTTACTTTTTCTTCATATTTAGGATTTCTAAATTAAATCCTCTTTTTCTAATATTTAATTGTTTATAAGCTTAACATACCCTTTTAAAATTTAGAAATTTCTTCTTTATCCCCATGATCTGTAGTATTGATTTCAATAAGTTTATCTGATTCAGTGATATTTTAAATAACCAATTATATATTTTTAGGATCTTAAGAAGTATCATCTTTTAATTCTTTTTTATCATTTATGTTTTTGGATGGTGAGAATATATTTTATACTCCATATTTATTGTATTCATTAATAGAATCTTTTAGAGTATCATTAATTCGATTTAAACTACTATCATCTGTTATTTAAACCATTTTAGTATTATTTGGATCTTCATTATCACCTTAATGATTTTGATATTCCCTATAAATTGGTTTAATCATTATTAATTATATTTTATTTTTGAATATAAAAATAGAATTATGACCATTTTATTCTTTTTTATAAGTAATAATTTATTTCATTATTGATTCATATTAATTGTAATTAAAGTTCTCAATGATTTTAAAGAGAATTTTTCTATTATAATTGTAATTTATTTACAAATTATAATTAAGAATTAAATAATTGATTTAATAGGAATACAGATTCAATTTGATAATTAAGAATGCAAAATATTAAAAACTGTCAAAAATAAATTAATATTTTTATAATAATGGCATGTATAGCTTAGAAGAAAAAAATTGAAAAATAGATTTATAAATAAAGAAATTATTTTAATAGAATAAAGAGATGTCAAATCAAATCAATAAAATAAGAGAATAATTACTATCATAATTTTATAAGTAAAAGTTTAAAATAAAATTATCTACTTAATAATCTATAAACGATACATATGTATACTTTGTTAGATGAATTGAATCATAATTATTAGAAGAATATATATATATATATATATTTATTGTTGTATATATAAATATATATATATATAACAAAAGTGAATTATAATATCATAAATACTACTACAATATTCTTTAGAGATCATTTATTTATATTGGTTTTGTAAGGTAATCTTTCATACCTGCTTGTAAACATTCATTTTTCTATTCATTACTTTCATATGCAGAACATCCTATTATTGTGACATTTATTCCGAATTTTTAGGATAATTCTAACAATTTTTTGGTTGTCTATATTCCATTTATATTAGGCATTTCTAAATCCATAAATATCAATTTATAGAAGTCGTGATTAATTTACCATTTTTTTTCACATTTTTCTATAGCAGAATATCCATTATATGCTGAGTCTACTGAATCAATTCCTCTTATAATATTATATTAAATTTACAATCTATCAAGTTTCAATCTCATCATTTCTATATTCATACAAATATCATCTACAATTAATATTTATAAAGTCATTATAGCTTTAGTTGATCGTTTGAAAATTGAAATATGATTATGAACATATACTTTATGGATACTTTCTTCTTATTATTATTACATAATAATTGACTCTTCACTATCTTAATTACGTTCTTCTAAACTATTTAATGATTAAATTTCATTTAAATCTTAATATCCTATTTAAAAATAGAATATAGAACCTAAAATTAATATTATCATATTACCTTTCTTATATTAAGATTTAAATTTAAGACCATTTTATAAATCTTAATTCAAATTTTAAAGTATTTAATTACTAATTAATAATCCTAAACCAACACCAGATTTATTCATCTTTTTATGTTCTTCACTATTTCCTTTACCAAAAGCTTAAAATATTTTTGCTTAATCTTCTTCTGTTATACCTATTCCAGTGTCAATAACTGATACATCCAATTTTTAATTAATTAATGAAACTTTTATAGTAACTGATCCATCATCTGTAAATTTGAATGCATTACCTAAAAGATTAATCATAATTTATTTTAATCTGCTTGAATCAGAATAAATATATCTTGGTGCTTTATTTTCATAATTTATAAATAATTTAATTTATTTTTTTTCAGCTGTAACCTAAAATAAATCTACACAACTTTCAAGTAATAGATTAAAATTAAATTTGGCTTTATTAATTTTAAATTTTCCAACTTTTATTTAAGCTAAATCCAAAAGATCATCACTTAAATTTAATAAATATTTTGCATTATCTAAAGCAATTTTTATTTATTTATTTATTTTTATAGGATAATTAACTTTCATAACTCTTTTACATTCTTTTTCCATTATCACTGTTTATGATTAATGTTTTTATTCTTCATATATTCCTAATTCTAACATCTCTATTATACAATTCAAAGGTGTTCTATATTCATGACTCACAAATGATAAAGTTTTTGATTTCTACTTACTATACTCTTATAAAGCTTAAATATAATCTCTATGAGTTATATCCCTAGTTAATATCAATATATATGGTATTTCATTGATTAATGCATTATATAACTTAACTTCAATTGTTCTTTTCCTATTTCCATCCTAAGGTTTTTAATATCCATAAACTACAATATGTTCTTAAATTAATTCATTTTAACATTTCATTTAACTTTAAAATTCAGATTTACGCATTTATTATGCTAATAATCTAATCTCTTATTCTAAAATCTAATGAATATACATAAATTATTACTGATTCTTCATATAAAGTATCACATTTTTTTAATATAACACCTTTACATTCAAGAGAATTCAATACAGAATTCTATCTAAATAATTCCATTCTTTGAGATTATTATAATTAATTTGTTTAAGATCTCTTTTAATTACGAAAAGCATTATGAATTAAATTACAAGGAATTGGTGTTTATTAGAAAGTAGAAAATGAACTCATTGAATTTTTTTATTCTTATTACTATTTCTATTAAATATCTGTTATTTATTATTGTTCTAAATTAAATAATTTCTATAAGATCTCATCAGATTATTATGCTAAAGATAATTTTAACATATTTTCATTATGATATTCTAATTCTATTTACTTATCACAAATTTTGAATAATCCTATTCCTTAAGGAAAAATACTTAAAATCTCTAATTTATTATCTCTAGGACTATCATTATTACTTGGTTTATCATGAAATTTAACTCTAGAATGATTATTTGTATGACCTGCACTATCAATTATAATTTTATCTGGTATTTCACCTTAAGTGTAACTATCTGTGATCTTTTTAATTTTTTTTGGTTTAGAATTATAAATTAAAATTAGCCAATGAATTACAATTGCTATAATTGATAGATGAACTTCTTTCAAATTGTTAATTGAACATAATGTAAATAGAAGAATGTCAGAAACTATATGATGAACAATCAATAGTTTCTTAAGTTATATCGTTTATAAATTTATTTTTGTATTAAAGAACTATTTGACATTACATAATGCTAAGACTGACATAGAGCTTTAATTGGATCCAAAATAAATGGCTAAAAGCAAACTCCATTACTACATCAAATCAAAATATTGGATATATTCTTTGATTTAAGTGATGAAACATAATATAATTCTTAAACCTTAAACTAATACTATCAATGTAGCTATTAGTATTGTACCATTTCCAAAGATATTTTGAAACATTACTAATAGAGTCACAATAATCATTGCCAAGTTATCTTTAAACACTCTTTTGAATCTATTCATATAACAAAAATTAATTTATTTATATATTCAATTAAGTTAACACCAAAATACTTAAGTGGATTCCCTAAATAAATGTTAAATTTCCATTTCATCTTTCTTATCTATCCCATATTACATTAATTCTTATATTGACTATACAAAATAATTGCTTTTAAAAATATTATCATAAAAGTCAGTTTATTCATTTTGTTTCTAATATCACAATTAAAGTTTATAATTATTGTTGTCATCAAATAAATTATAATAATTTAATTTTAGATTGTTTACATAAACTTAAATTTGAATACAAAATAAATATAAATGAATACAAATTAATACAAATCAATAAAAATATTATTAACTTATTAAATCAAATATTCTAATATAAAATCTATTGATTTTTCTAATCTTAAATTAATGAATCTAATTGATTTAATAACAATACTAATTATAATATTAATTGTTCTTAAAATTACATATAAATTAATTTAAACAATTGTATATTTTTTTATTATGCATAAATTAATAACAATTAAGTAAAAATATCACTCAATAAATCAAAATTAACTAATCTTATTAACTTTCTCATATTTTAAAGAATTAAGAATTATCTAAAATTAATTAATAAAATTTTAGAATAAATTACACAATAAAAATCTATTGATGGATAAAAGATTCAAACATACTTTAGTTGCCCATAAAATATGTCCATTCAGTATGAAAGTCCTCACAGTCATGCGTCATAAAAATGTGAAATTTGAAATTAAATTCATTGAAACACATAATAAACCAGAATGGTTTATTAGAATCAGTCCTTTAGGGAATGTACCTGTTTTAATTATAGGAGAAGAAGGTATTTCTTATTAATTAATTTTAAGTTGTTTTATCAGAATCAGCTATAATTATGGAATATATTGATGAAATAACACCTCCTAAATTGATGCCAGATGATCCTCTATAAAAAGCATTAGATAGAGCTAAATTTGAATATTCAAATGAGATTATTAGAAATCTATATTCTTTCATTTTCTCTACTGAATAAGAAGTAATCTCATTATTAAAATATTGTAGAAATTTGTAAGATAAAAAGAATGTTTAATCAAACATTTTAAATGGATAGAAGAATAGTTAAAGGATAAAAAGTTTATTAATGGAAATGAATTATCTCTTGTTGATTTAAGTTTTGTTCCATTATTTGTTGCATTGAATATGCTCAAATCAACATTACCATGTGATATGTTGAAAGACTTTAAAAGAGTAATCCTTAGTCTTTAATATAGTTAAAAATATATGGAGATATGATAACATCTTTACCTTGTTCGAAAACTGGAAGAGTTCCAGATTATGAATTTCTGATGATTGATGGTATCAAAACTCAGAATACAGTTCTCTATAGATCTAATCCATGTTATTTCAATAATGATTCAAAACCTTAAGGATGTTGTTTCTTTCGTAATTGATTAGTTTTTTTTATATATCATTTTTTCTTTTTTAATGATCGCTAATATCATTTTTATCAGTTAAGAATTCAATTCTTTCTCTCTTTTTTTTAAGTAGAAACACTTTGAAGATATTAATCAATAATTGATTATAAGTATAAAAATGTCTATTAAATAGTTAAAATCTAATTAAAAAATAAAAGATAGATTATTTGATATAACTTGGAAGAATTAGTATTATTTTTAGAAAATTCTTTATTCTAAAAATATTTATTATAATATTAAATATATGTCTATTCTTTAATAAATTAAATTCAAATGAGAACCCCCTAATTAACAAATAAAACAATACCTATTACAATTCAGCATAATTATATTATCGAAATATGAATACAATAAAAATGATAAATTTTAAGTGAAATAATAATTGAATGAACTGCTTAAGGATCCTAATTGTTTATAAATAATTCTTTATAATTAGATTTAGTTATGATTGATACATTATAATTAATAGAATTGTAAAAAATATTGGATTATGAATAATTAGATATTACTAGCAAAATAAATAAAATAAAATAAAAGTTTATGGGATTAATATATAATAATAATAAAAAAAACTACTTTTATTACTTTTAATTGATAAAATAGTTTTTATAAAATGATTTCATTTATAAATAATAAACTAAATATTATAGGATAACTTTAGGTATACAAACAAAAATATTATATATCTAAAGATTTGTATGAATTTACTAAGAAATCTTTAATTAAAACTAAATAATTATAATAAAAAAGTAAATTATATAAAATCCAATTAAAATTCATGAATATTCCTCTTAAATTTCATTTATGTTATTTGTTTCATGTATTTTATAAAAACTAACTTTTTAGTTTTTAAGAATCTTTCCTAATTCTTAATCAATTTATTTAGTTAATTTGGAATTTATAGTTTTTTAACATGGATTTACATTAGGACTATCTTCCATTTCTTCACTTACTGTTTTATAGGCCTAAAATGAAAAAATATATTTAAATACTTCTTAAAGAGATGTAAAAAGATCTTCATTGAGTTAATCAAGATTACTCTTAATATATGATTATTTATTGATATCATCAGCTAATTCCAATCTTGTTGGAACAGTGTGATCCTATCCCAATGTAATAATTGGTTTTGGAGTGAAATTGAATAATATTATTTATGGTTTTTATAATAGAACAGTTTTTAATTTTGTTATTTCTTATAATTAATGTAGAATATTATGTAAATCTAATTCACTATTAATTTTCAACCTAAATTATATAAATAATTATTTACATAGCCTTTGTAAAGAATTCAGAATTATTATTATTAAAAAAATAACCACAACTCATTTGATTAATCAATATTTTTACATTTAATCTTATTGGAGATGTTCTTTCCATTAATTTATTTATAAATTATCTCCAATCTCCTTTATTTAAATCAGAATTCTGTAAATTTTATAGTTTATTACTTAATTCATCAGGAATTGAACCTCTTTAATCAGTCTTTTAAGAAATTGCATCTTTTCTAAGAAATGATCTATTTGTCACTTCTTTAAAATCATATAGTTTATTTGATAATTCAATTAACATAGATGTTCTATTATAAAAGGCAATGAAGAAACCAAAAATAACCTTCAATATCTACATAAATCCTCCAAGATATGATAAAAGATCTCCAACCTTTTGGTAGTTTCTGTTAATAATTTCTGTAAATGGACTTCTTCTTAAATACAAAGTTGCAAATATAGTATCTGTATCTCTTCCAAGTTCTGTTAAATCTCTGAAATCTTCTGCCTTTCTTATTATCATTTCCTCTGTTTTAATATCTCTATGAATATATATTTAATATGAATACTAATAAGGCAATAAACTTTCATCATTATTTACTATATATTATCTATAATAAACATTTGCTAATCTGACTAATTTTTAAGGTACAAAAGAAAAGTACATATCACTATCTAAGTACATTGTCTTATAGTTTTGTGCTTATTATGGATTAATCATAGAATTTATTTAAAACACTTATAATTTAAATTATCCTTCACTTTTCAAATAATTAGTTTTTTGTTATTCATCTGCACATTGTGGATTCCAATAAGATGAATTTGTATTATTTTTACATCCTGTTACAACAATCTTGATGAATTTGAATATTTCACTTGAATATGTACCTTCTAATTATAAGGTATAATTTAGACTATTAAAATAAATTTTGTTTACGCTGGGCATAACCATTTATTCATAGATAAATAATTGAATTCATCATTAAAATCAATATTGATTCCCTACTCTTTTACAACATTGTTGAATCTATCTAGAGTGCAAGGTTATAGAGGAATTTGTATAGTTGATTTATTTAGAGATCCATCCAATGATCTTGTATATATTCTAAGTTAATAAATTCTTACCTTTATTCTACTGATATATTAAAGAAAGGATTAGTAGTAAAATTGGCTTAGTCTATTGATAAGGCAAACATTGCATTCTAATCATTCATTTCCATAAAATGTGGATCATTAGAAAAGGTAATCTAAGAATCATAAAATACATTTGCTCTGCTAAAAAAATCAGATATATTGGAAAAAAATATTATGCTAAGTAGACAAATAATAAGTATAGAGGAGCATCCACCAAATGAAGTTGTGTAATAGGCATTCTTATTCATATTTAATGTAATTGTTTATCCAAATATATCTATTTTTTCTAAACTTTTCTGTAAGGAGTTTATCATTAATTATTTATTTATTTATGAAAAAAATACATAAATTCTAAACTAATTCAGATTGAATTCTAAAAATAAAAACAATATCAATAAGAATATACTAATTAAATTTGATTGCTCTCAATTTAATAATTCGTATTTTATATAAAAAATATTAACACTCAAAATAAAATAATTATGAGTTATACATTAGTATAATATTCAATCGCTTTAATGAAAATCTTCTTAATTGTTATTATTGTTTTATATTTCAGTAGATTTTATACCATTTCTACGTTAATTAGAAATAGGTTTTAAAATACTTCTAATATCTGATCCTATAAGTTAAGTTAACTTTAAATTGATATTCATTTAACAAATATTTGTGTTTGTTTATTCAACTTCCTCAGCTATTTCCTTGTATGCCTAAACTTGTTTAAAAATATCATACTTCTTCAATTTTTAAAAATAATTCTTCATTAAGAGTATCTACTTTGCTCTTAATATATGATTACCCAGTCTCCACATCCTCAACTGAATAACGAGATGGAACAATCTACTCTTTTCCTAAAGTAATAACAGGTTTTGGAGAAAAATTAAATAATATTATTTAAGATTTTCTTAATAAAATTTATTTAAGTTTGTTAATTTCCTGTAATTGATAAAGAATACTATGTAAATCTAATTCACTATTTATTTTATTCCTAAAATATACTAAATTAATTACATAGCCTTTTCTAAAAATTCTGAATTTTTATTTTTTAATAGATAGCCAAAAGTCAATTAATTTATAAATATTCTCAAATTAAAAGTTATTGATTTAGATTTTTTAACTAATTATTTTATATACTATTTCCATTCAACTTTATATAATTCTTATGAAGTATTCAATGGATTTATGGGATTACATTCTTATTTTTCTATAGGTGATGCAATTTAATCAGTATATTTTAATGTTTTAATAGTGTGATACTGTTTCATATGATTATTATCTTAAAAATCATAAAGTTTATTTGCCAATTCAATTAACATAGATGTTCTATTATAAAATGCAATAACAAATCCAAATATAACTTTCATAATCTACATAAATCCCCCTAGATAAGAAAGTAATTCACCTAACTTTTAATATTTTCTATTAATTGTTTCAGTAAAAGGACTTCTCCTTAAATATACAATAGCATAATTATCATCTGTATCTCTACCAAGTTCTGTAAGATCTCGAAAATCTTCTGCTTTTCTAACAATAATTTTCTCTTATTCTATGTCCCTAACAATTAATCTATAAATATATTATACTCGTATGGCATAATGCTTTAATCATTATTTACAATAAATTATCTATAATAAACATTAGCTAATCTAGCTAATTTAAAAGGTACAAATGAAAAATACATATCACTATCTATGTATATGCTTTTATAATCATTAGGTTTTAAAGGATTGACTACCGTATTAATTTAAAAGATTTATAATTTAAATTAGGCATTTGAAGCAAGATATTTAGCCTTTTCTGCAGCAGAACTACATGTTGGATTCCAAAGACTATTGTTAGTTTGATTTAATGTTTTGCAATCTTTAACTGTTAATTTTATAAATTTAAAAGTCTCACTTGAATAAGTTCCTTCCATCTAAAAAGTAAAGTTTGATCTAATGTTTAAATAGTTTAAAAATACTTAGGACATAACATTTTGTTCATTCCTAAAAAATTAAACTAATCAGTAAAGTCTAATCCTTGCTATAGAAATATATTATTAAACCTCTCTAATGTACATGGTTGCATAGGAATTTCAATGGTTTATTTAATGAGTGTACCATTTGCATTTCTTAAGTAAATCCTAAAAATTATAAACGAATATTAATACTTCTATTCAACAGTAATATTGAAATATGGGTTTGTAGTGAAATTAACTTAATCAATAGATAATGCAAACATAGAGTTGTCTTCCAACATTTCCATTAACTCAGGATCATTAGAGAAGGATATTTCACTATCATAGAATACATTGTCTTTTCCAAAAAATTCTACAATGTTTGAGAAGAAAATCAGACTGAGTAATATAATAATCAAAATTGATGAAATCCCACCAAAAGCAGTTGTATAACTAGCATTTTTATTCATATTTAACGTTATATTTTATCCAAAGATATCGATTTTTGCAAGAGCTAATATAATAATTGTTTTTACAATTTCGAAGGACATTGATGTTCATCTCAAATCAAAATAATATTTATTAAAATTAAAAAACACACATCAAATTAATAATATGTTAATTAGAAATCATAAATTAAATTTTGATTATCTTAAAAAGTTATCATAACTATTAATAATGGAGGAATTCATAGATAAATTATAAATATTAAATATTGATGATAATTCTGTTATTAAAATTAAAATATTAGATATTTACATTCAAATCATTATAAATCACTAATATTATATAAGTACTTATTACAATAAATATTTTAATATAAATAGTATTATCTAAAAATTTATACAAAAAAATTTAATATTAATTTACTAAAATAAACTAATATAAAGCATTCCTGATAGAAATACAAAATTTAATAATTATTTTCTTATATTAAATCTAGAAATTTGAATGCAAGAGGTATTCGAATATGAGTATTCATAATTTCATCCTATTGCTGATGAAGCTTAGGATTCAAATTGTCCATATAATCAAAACAGTTATCAACCAGCTATCATTGAAATGAAAGAATCTGAGTAAATAAATAAATAAAATTTCATAACTAATCATCAATAATAATCAAATTAATTGTATAAAAATTTTGAGAACAATTAAACTAGAATAGATTATAAAAATTTGCCTAAATTAATAGGCAATCATTATTATAAATATATTGAATAAAATAATATTACAAAAACAAAAGGTGTGGAAAATTTTTATAATTCTAGAAAAATTAAAAAAGATAAAGGTAATAAAAAAGCAAAACAAATATCAACTACAATATCAGATTTAAGAGAAATATGTAAAGCTGATAATTAATCTAAAACTACTTTTAAAAGATTTATAAAAAAATAATTGTTTATTGATTTAATACACAGTCCTAAAATTGAAGATCCATTAAAATATCTTGATGGAATTAGTACTTACTATGCTGCTGCTGATGAACCAGATAAAATGATTAGTAGTCATCTCTTGAGTTCCAAAAATGAAACTTTAAAAAAATGAGTTTGTTATATATTTAAAAAACATTCTTAATCTTGGCTTATATATATTATTTTTGTTATTGCATTATTATTACTAATTACTAGTATTATTATAATAATGAATATACTTTTATTAATAGGTTGTTAAATAAATATTATTTAGAATTATTATTTGAATAATATGATATTATTTACAATCATATAGATCTAATTTAAAATTATTGTAATTATCTATATATATTTATAGTATAGATTGAACAATTTTGTATTTTTATTTATTAAATCTTTTTTAATCAAGGAAAAATATTAGTATGATTTCATATATACTTTTTGTTTTATTATAAGAAATTAAATATAATTTTAAAGTCTTAGTATTAATAAATAAAAATTAATAAAAATCAGTTCTTTAGTTTATTCTTTAAGTATTTTTCTACTTTATTAGACTGAGAGAGAATAAGTTAAATGGAACTTGAATACTTATAATTTATATTGAATATGTTTTTATGTTTTATGTGATAATGAATTCATGCAAAGGTCTTTTTTGTCATAATATTGTAGAAATCTTCAAATGTTACTTAAGCATCTCCATCTGAGTCAGCTCTATCAATCATTTCTTACAATTCTGAGTCATCCATGGTTTCTCCCAATTCTTTAGCTACTTTTCTAAGGTCTTTTAATGTAATGACTCCTGCTCTTTCTGAATCAAATAAATTAAAGACTTTCTATTATGATTTAATATATAAAATACTTAGATATCAGCTCTTGAATCTCTTTCACTAATTCTGGCTGTCATCAATTTCAAAAATTCTGCAAAATCAATTTAACCGCTTCCATCTGTATCTAAATCACTAATCATTTAGTAAATGGTTTGATTTTTTGCTTCAAATCCTAAAGAAGTCATTGCAGCTTTTAATTCTTTTGGATCAATAGATTAAGTGCTTNGCAATCATTATTATAAATATATTGAATAAAATAATATTACAAAAACAAAAGGTGTGGAAAATTTTTATAATTCTAGAAAAATTAAAAAAGATAAAGGTAATAAAAAAGCAAAACAAATATCAACTACAATATCAGATTTAAGAGAAATATGTAAAGCTGATAATTAATCTAAAACTACTTTTAAAAGATTTATAAAAAAATAATTGTTTATTGATTTAATACACAGTCCTAAAATTGAAGATCCATTAAAATATCTTGATGGAATTAGTACTTACTATGCTGCTGCTGATGAACCAGATAAAATGATTAGTAGTCATCTCTTGAGTTCCAAAAATGAAACTTTAAAAAAATGAGTTTGTTATATATTTAAAAAACATTCTTAATCTTGGCTTATATATATTATTTTTGTTATTGCATTATTATTACTAATTACTAGTATTATTATAATAATGAATATACTTTTATTAATAGGTTGTTAAATAAATATTATTTAGAATTATTATTTGAATAATATGATATTATTTACAATCATATAGATCTAATTTAAAATTATTGTAATTATCTATATATATTTATAGTATAGATTGAACAATTTTGTATTTTTATTTATTAAATCTTTTTTAATCAAGGAAAAATATTAGTATGATTTCATATATACTTTTTGTTTTATTATAAGAAATTAAATATAATTTTAAAGTCTTAGTATTAATAAATAAAAATTAATAAAAATCAGTTCTTTAGTTTATTCTTTAAGTATTTTTCTACTTTATTAGACTGAGAGAGAATAAGTTAAATGGAACTTGAATACTTATAATTTATATTGAATATGTTTTTATGTTTTATGTGATAATGAATTCATGCAAAGGTCTTTTTTGTCATAATATTGTAGAAATCTTCAAATGTTACTTAAGCATCTCCATCTGAGTCAGCTCTATCAATCATTTCTTACAATTCTGAGTCATCCATGGTTTCTCCCAATTCTTTAGCTACTTTTCTAAGGTCTTTTAATGTAATGACTCCTGCTCTTTCTGAATCAAATAAATTAAAGACTTTCTATTATGATTTAATATATAAAATACTTAGATATCAGCTCTTGAATCTCTTTCACTAATTCTGGCTGTCATCAATTTCAAAAATTCTGCAAAATCAATTTAACCGCTTCCATCTGTATCTAAATCACTAATCATTTAGTAAATGGTTTGATTTTTTGCTTCAAATCCTAAAGAAGTCATTGCAGCTTTTAATTCTTTTGGATCAATAGATTAAGTGCTTAAAAATGATATATATATAAGTACCCATCTGTATCAAATAAGTCAAATGCTTCTTTGATTTCTAAGACTTCCTCTTCTGTCAAACCAGGTTTAACAAATTCAGCTGGATTGAATTTTCCTGCTTGATTCTTTTAAGCAGGAGGTGCTTATTAAGGTGGTGGTTACTATCCTCTTCGTGCCATTTAATAAGAAATATAATTATTTATTAAAAGATATTCACTAATTTATTTCTGTATTTCTAATTTTTATTTTCCTCTTTTTTAGAATATAAAAATTCGTTTTTGGAATATCATAGATAGTTATTAACTTTTGACTGATTTCTAAAGAGAAGAATTATATAATTATTTGTAATCAATAAAAATAAAAATTTTAATATAAATTAGTAATAATGAATATTAGTGATAGAGATGTAGATATTGAACCAATAGATTAAAAATAAAAGATCCATAATATATAAGATGAAAGATAGGCATTTTTCAATTTTATTAAATCAATAATTGGAATAGGAGCTATTACATTTCCTTTTGCAGCTAATAAAGTTGGATGGTTAGGTTCTATTTTAATAACAATACCAGTACTCTTTTGCACTATAAAGTATATTTATTTACATTTATGATCTAATACATTCTTAATAGAAGTGGCAGATTATTATTCAAATAGAAAATTACTCTTTGGAGATATAGTTGAATTAACATTGAAATGGGTTTGGCCATAGATAACTAATATAATGATAATACTTTCTTAAATTGGAGTTTGCTGTGCCTATTTAATATTTTTATATCAATCAACAGATGTTGTTTTGAATTAAATTAATATTCCCTTATCAAAGTTAACAATATTCTCTTTAACATTGATTTTGATTATTCCATTGTCTTTGATAAGAAGGATGAAATACTTTCATTAAGTAAGTAAAATAGGTTTTTATGTTAATTTACTTACATTTATTATAATATTCTTTGATTGTTTAACTATAGTATTTCGTGATGGTATTTCATATAGACCATGTATAAATTTATAAAGTATTATTTTAATATATTTAGATACATTTTAATTTATTGGGATAGCATGTCTAACATTATAATGTAATTTGACTATTTTGCCTATTAGAAATGATATGATAAATAAATAACCATTTTAAAGATACTAAGAATTGTCATTGTTTATATGTTTTTTAATTGCAATATTGATTACAACCTTTGCTATTTGGGGTTATAAAGATAATCTCAATTAAATTATTATATTTAATATTTAGAATCTTTATCTAAGATCAATCACTATGATTGCTTATGGAATTTGTATATTAATGACATATGCACTTTAATTATTTCCTGCTGTATAAATTATAGAATAGCATATATCATAACTTTCTTATAAGACATTTGATGAATCTGAGGATTAAAATGAAAGTGTATTTGTTTTAGATAAAAATTCATTAATTATCAGAGGACTTTTAATGTTAACAATTTATATAATATCATACAAAATACCTGATCTTTCATAATTTATAAATTTAATTGGTAGTTTTTTTGGTTCATTTTGTTAAGTAATATGATTATTAGATATTTATAGTTCTTAATACCATTATTAGCCCATTGGATTTGTTTTAAGAATTAATAAGCTAGTTTAAGATTAAAATTGGAATATTTTTTAATGTCTATATTTACAGTTTTAGCAATAGTTTTTGGATCATATGAATCAATAAAAGGTTTGATATGAGTAAATAATAAATAAAAAATTGAGATTAAATTTAATATATAGCACATAATTGAAATTCAATTTGATTCAATTAAAAAACTGAATGACTTTTTTAGTAAAAAATCCATATTATGTTTTTCTTTATTTTATCCATAGTAATTATCTTTTAATAAATCATCTTTAAGTAATTTCTCTATATTAATTTTATATATTGTATTATTTCGAGGATATTTAAATTATTAAAGTATTTTACATTAAGGATTGATTGTCATTGTCTTCGTTAAGACTCTATCAAATAAGGAATCGAATTGAACTTTGAACTATATTAAAGCATTGCCTACTTTATTCATATAATTTACTACAATTCTAAGATTCTACTTTTTTTTTTAGAATTTTATTTTATATTTAATTTTTAAAATGAATTGATCGAGTATTATTATAATTATTAAAACACTGTCTTTTCTTAAGAAATAAAGAGGATTAATGTATCACTTAATAAATTGGCTAAAATATTAGATAAATCAAAACAACTGAAACTAATATTAAAAATATTGAAATCAATATTGCAATCAATGCTATCTATTGAATTTCTCTATTAAATATTAAATTGAGATATTTCATTTATTGATCAATATCATTCTCTATTTATATATCATAAAAGAGAATTAGATAATAATTGATATTTCTAAGCTTTTTAATAGTTATTACTACATCCTTTTTATAAACAGTATTATATCTACATAAAATATCATGAGTTATTAAATGACAAGTAGATTAAACAGTATGTTTATTATAATAATTAATAAGAGAATTCCAATCTTCAGAATTAAATCCTGTAATTTCTGAATCTGCAAAGTTATTTAATTGAGATGAATTAGATATTTCTTTATATTTATAATTTGTTAATAGTAATTATCCTTTTTAATCAGCTATCATAATATTAATAGTCTTAATTCGAATCATATTATTCTAAAATATCATATCAGAACAAAAGATTCCTTAAATTTCCCAATTTAAATTTAACATAGATTGCGTCATAGTCATTGAATAAGTAGGTTCTGTACCGAAATATTTATATACATCACTTAATTAAGTATTGTTACGGTTATCTTACTATAAATTTTTGAAATGTTGTTAATACCATATTCTTTCTTTAGGATGAAAATTTTCTAATTTTGTTTCTTAAGGATATACGTAACTGAATTCATAAAGGTCTATTGAAGATACGAAATAAAATTAATTTGGAATAAATGGATCATCAAGACCCATCATACCTAAAATATTTGAACTTATTAAATAGGTATGATTTCTTAATGTTTATTCAGTTAAATCTTCAAATGGTTCAAAATCATTTTCATTAAGTGCAAAATATTAATAACATGGAATAGAATAGGAATGTTCAGAAGGCATTATTGTTGAATTACGATCACATAGACGTGAGATTGGTTTATTGATCCAAATATTATTATTCAATTAAAGCCAATATAATTAATTAAGATTAGTCAGAGTAATTTATGCTATTATAATTTATGAAATAATACTTCTTGTAAATACAGAATTCAGTTATTCATTTATAAAATCTGCTGAATTTGTTAAATGATTAAACATCTCCTTAAGCATAATATCCTTTTCAGAATTACTCAGTATTTATTTTACATAATATAAGTTTATAGTCTATGTCAATATGATCGAAGGAATAATTATTGCCAAAATACAACCATTAATAATTAATATCTGTGTTCTCATTTTAAATTTTCCTAATTTTGAGCTAAAACAACGATGTAAAATAGATGTCTAGACTTAAAAGTTCATTTTTTAAGGGATTAATAAAAAATAATATTAAACATATCAAATTGATTTGTCATATTAAATTTTATTTAATCATGCAATTGTTGCAATCCGATATATATAAATCTTAGTAATTTATTTTATTATTTTCTCATTTTCATATAAGAGATATAATAGTATTAATACCAAGAATATTAAATTTAAGGTTAAATTTTAAATTATCACTCATTAATAATTCATGAAATTGAAAAAAAAATAATACTAAAGGTTTAGACATATTATTGATTAAGTTGGAAGGTATTCACAACAATTTTATTATAAAATTTATTTTTTAAATTTCCATAAAAAGATCAATTTTTAGGTTTGAATTTTTATTAAACTTTTTATATTATTTAATAAACTATTATTATTATAGTTTGTTTATATATTATCTTTATTATTTTGAATAAATTAATTACACAAAATTTACTTAATTAGAGATATTCAGAGCGATCATTTGAAAATTCTAGAATATTGAAAATTATAATTATCTAGTAATTTTATTAATAAATTTAGTATATTAGATATTAATAATTAATATTAATATAGATGTTATTAAGCTTTAATACAAAATAATGAATATATAGTGATTATATGATATAATATAATTTTATTAATAATAATAATGAATCAATAATTTTTTGGCAACACAAGATTGGCTATCCAAAGAGCTTAATAACTTCATTTATTCTTCACAGAATCAGTTATATATGACTAATTTAAATACACAGCTAAAATGCCTTAATATCCAAAGATTGTATTTTTGCAATCAAATCCATTTGTAAGAAATTTAGTTGAGAAGTATTGAATTAAATATACTTATAGACAATTTGTTTAATATTCTATTGTTGATGCTTAAAAGACAACTGGAGAAGTAAGTAATTTATTGATGGTTAGGACAATGTTGCTAGATTGGCTGAATAGGTTCAATTATAATCCACTTAAACTAATGGTGCATTATTATTTGGATTCCCTAATAATGCCATTGAAGCAGAAAAGTAAATATATGAAATTAATAATTTTAAGACTTGATAGATTATTAGATGGTGTTAATTTGGCAATTAGATTCAAATTATCAGAATCATTAGCATAGAAAATAGCAGGATCATATTTATCATGTTAATCATGTGGCAAAGTATTCAACACAAGTTTACCATTTGTTACTCCAACTCATCCAGGATATTAAAATAATGTAAGATATAATATATTAAATTTAGTGTCAAACTCCAAGTAAATGTGCTTTAGAATAGAGTTCTGCTCCAGCTGATTAAATTAATGCAGAAGTTGCCAATTATTATTAATAAAAAGTATAATTTATTAATCAATATATTAGGGTGCATATCTTGAATATGAAATAAATGAAGAGCATTTATTATATGATTCATAAGAATTCTTTGAAAAATTAGATAATGCAGTAGCAACTAATATCAAAGTTTGATATTTTTAAATAAATAAAGAAATATATAATAATTATGATTAAAATTAAAAAATATTTTATTTTCAGCATTTAAATATGTATAAAATATTTAAAAGCTGAAAAAGTAAAATTAGTTTTTAAAAATTGATTGATAACTTCATTATTATTATTTGCTTTTTCTTTTTTATTATTATTTAATTAGAAATCTATTCTAAATATTGTGTTTATATATTTAAATGCCTAAAGCCAAATTATCCATATGTGTTAATCTCTATTATTAAGATTGAAGCACATTTGATTATTCTTTACTTAGATCAGTCTATAAAATGTTATTGATTTATAATTACATAAATTCTTTCATTTGGTTATGTTTAAATAGGTTTTTATGTATCATTATATGCATAAGTACTTATCATTCTAGTTTTACGATCATTTTTAATATGTTAGCTACTTCTATTTTCTACACTCCTTTTTAGATAAGTGATTTCAGATCTTTAACTATTACTGCTATGACGATCTGATCTTTCAGTACTACCTTGTTTAAATTTTAAATTGCTTTTATGTCTGACATAAGTAGTTGAATCTCTATATAAAATATATATATATAATTTAATACGTATTGCCTAAGTATTTAGATTATTTAACTGCAAGTAATTAAGCTAATTATCCTTTAGATTAACAGGAAGGTTTTTGGGAGATAGATTTTTGATTTTTAGTAGGCAAACTGGTTTTTTTGGGTGCTGAAGTATCTCTATGAGGAACAGGATCTTAAGATTTAGTTTTACCTTTTCTAATTTAATATGATTAATAAATTAATACGTTTATGATTTATTTTGATTTCTATCTGAGAAAGCTTTATTTAAAAACATTTCCATAGATGATGAACCTCCAGTTTCTGCTACTTTAGAGACTTATGGTTATTTAAGTTCTTTAGGTTATGCTTATTGTTAGAGTAATAATTAATGTTATTGTTATTGATTTTAGAGAAGATGCAATAAGATTTATTATTAAACATCTTAATTATAAGGTTATATAGGTTATTATTATGAGTATAATTTTTATTTGACTAAGGGTGAGGATTTTTATTATTCTATAATAGGTGTTTTATTAAATAAATTCTATTTTTCAATAGAAATTGGTTTAGATGGGATATTATCAGGTTTGATCTATTTTTCTCTTTGTTGTTTAAGTTTAAGTAAATAATAACAAGTAGTAATACAATTATGTTTATTATTTTTGATCATTTAGACAGCTTCTTCTTCCGAGATGTTAAATTATAATAACTATTGAAGAATAGTGTAATCAACATCAATTTTAAAATTATCCAATCTAGATACTCTATTGATAATACTTAGTGTTTACTCCTTCTGGAATAGTCATTTTACCAGCGAAAAGAATAAAATCATGTTATCTGATTTCAGGTATTGTAATTCTTTTAGAGGGATCTTTTTATAGAATTTTTCGAAGTAGATCAGCAGCTTAAGGAGATACACTTTTAGGTAATTTGTAATCAGAATGTTTAATCTTTTCATATAATTATTTAGTATTTTAATCTTCGAATGGTACACAACTATAATTAAGATAAATATAATACCCACAAATCATTGCATATAAAATTATACCACATGACCATATATCAGTTTTCAATCCTTCATATGGTAATCCACTAACCATTTCAGGTGCAGCATAACAAGGACTTCCACAAGGTGTATGTAATTTTTAGTTTGGTTAATAGAGATTGGATAATCCGAAATCGACTACTTTAACTTATTTATTAATATCTAATAAGATGTTCTCTGGTTTGAGATCTCTATGCACTATACCTAGTTAATGTATGTATTCTATGGCATTGAGAAGTTAAAAGAATATACGACCAGCTTCACGCTCTTCAAGTCGAGATTTCGAAACAATATGTTCAAATAATTCACCTCCTGGTGCATATTCAGTTATGAGATATAATTTTATTTCACTCTCAATGATCTCTTATAATTCATTTTATATACCTCATATAATTAAATGATATTTGGATGACGAATTTTACGTAGAATATGAATTTCACGTTGAATTCTCACATAGTCAGCCTCATTTTCTATTTTCTCTTTCTCTAGAATCTTGATTGCTACCTTTGTAAATTGAAGTGAGTTAATACTTTCTCATTAGTGCATTTGTGAATACCCAACTTCACTTTCCCAAAGGTTCCTTATCCTAAAGTTTTATCTACAACATAATTCTAAAGAGGATTGAAATTAGGGTCCTTAAATGTATAGAGTTTTGGCATAACAGAATTTATATTAAAATAATCAATCATCTAATTTTATAATTATTCAATCTCTCCAAAGCCAATAACAATGCTTATGTTCCATTACGTCCTCCACCTTAGGCAACCAAAGCATGATAAAATTGTTTTACTAAAGCTAATCCTGGTAAACTCAAATTCATTCTATTAGCTTCATTTATTGCTATGCTTAAATCTTTAATATAATGTTCAACATAAAATCCTGGTTCAAAATCTCCCTTTACCATTCTTAATCCTAAAACACTCCAAGCTGTTGAATTTGCTGCTCCACTCTTTATTGTATTTATCAATTATTCTAAATTCAATCCACATTTATGTCCATATAACAAACCTTCCACTGTTCCTATCATATTTCCAGCCAATACTATTTAATTTACCATCTTTGTATGTTAACCTAAACCAGCATTTCCCATTAATTAAACATTTGCACTATAAACTTTTAATACATCATTTATTCTATCCAAAGCCTTCTATTCTCCTCCACACATCACTACCAATCTTCCTTCTCTAGCTCCAATATCTCCTCCACTTACTGGAGCATCAATTGAATCTATTCCTTTCTCATTTGCTTCTTTAAAAATTCTCACTGCCAATTCAGGTGATGATGTAGTATGATCAACTAATACTGTACCCTTTTTCATATGATTTAATATTCCATTCTCTCCTAAAACTACTTCTTCAACATCCTTTGGATATCCTAACATTAAAAACACAATATCAGAATTTTCTGCCAATTCTTTTGGTTAAACAAATTCTGCTCCTTCTTCTATTAAAGGTTATGCCTTTGCAACTGTTCTATTATAGATACGCAATTTATGACCAGCTTTAAGAATATGCTTACACATAGAAACACCCATTACACCTGTACCAATCCAACCAATATTCATTTTTTATATAGAATCTATAAAAATATGATTCAACTTATATAATTATTATTTCCATTGTAATTATCAATTTCTGTAAAGATTCTGTTTCAATAATTGATTATTCTAATTATTTCTTAGATTATTTTTTATTCTTACTTCCGTAACCATTATAAAATTACTGTAAAGATTGGATTTATTAATCTATTAATTATACTTATCCTAAAAAAACATGATAAAAATGGAGAAATAAAATTATTATATAACATGAAATATAATCAAGTAAGGAATAGTCAAATACAAAGATAATATATTATTTTCAGTTATCTATAGTAATATATAGATATTAATAGATAATATCAAAAAATCTTATTTTATTATATTCATATTATCATTATTAACAATGCTATAGAATTTTATCTTATGTAGTATTAATATCCATATAAAAAGGGTGTTGTAAAAAAGATAAAATTAAACTAATATCTAAGAAAAAGATTGTGGAAATTGTGATATATTTATTTTAAAATGCTAATTTATACAAGTTACTTATACGTGCAATTTTCAATAAAAAACACTTTTTTTCTTGTGGAAATTATCATGAATAAGGAAAGCTAACTTTAATATACAATTCTAAACTCAATTTCTTTAGCAATTTCAGTTTTATTATTGGGTATGGAGACACTTAAAAAACAAAATATTTACACAAACAATATAGGAGCATCATTATTATGTTTGCTTAATATAGAATTCATATACAAAGATATTCCTTAAATTAATACACTTTAATTAGGGACTTTCATAGTAATTCTGATTACACAATTTGATGATGCATAAAAATGGCATAAATTTATGAAACATTCAATTATGGTGTATTTTTTTATCAGAACATTCATATAATATAAGGAATAACTGTACATAACTGAAATGTTGACTTGTTTTTTATGGTAACCTTTGAATCATTGGATGTTGCATTTGAAGAAAGAGGATGATTAAATGGCATTTAAGAAGTAATCTTTAGATATAACAAAATACAATATAGAGTAAATTCCATAAATTGTGAAGGATTAATCTGAATAGGATGAATAATGTAGCAGTGTTATGAGTAGTTTACACATCCAACAAAATTTGAAAGAGTTGAAGTAAATGGAAATTAAAAATCCCTTTGTTTAATAAAAGGAGAATCTGATCAATACATTTTCAATCAAAGAATTAGAATCATAGAATTCTACATCTAATTTAGACATACCTTAGATTTGGGATTTGTTACCATTTGGAATAGGACTTATAAATAACCTATTTGAAATGGTGATTAATAATTAAAAATTATTATAGTTTTTAAAAGTGTCAGATAATGATGGAAGAAACATCATTTTAAGTTTAGATTCATTATTAGAAAGGTATAATCCATATATAAATTAAGTTGTGAATCATGGGAAAGTAAATCCATCAAGTAAGTAGGTTCTAATTAGAGCAACCGTTAGAGTAGAAGATTCTTAAAAGGTCCATAGTTATCTTTAATATCAAAAAGTTTAAATGACTAAAATTCAGTGAATCAAGATGGAGGCACCATTACAAATATAAACCATAATCTTAGTTATTGTTAAAATACAAATAATTAGATAAGGGATGAAGTAATGACATCTAAGACTAGATTTAGAAATTTAAATCTATTGATTTAGAAATTTGCATAAAAGTCTCCTTCTTTTATAAATAATGTTGATAATTCTGTATAATCAATAGGATAAAACATATAGATAATTAAAATAGTTTAGGATTTAGGATCTATGAAATGTTATTTAAGAATTAAAGTATATGAAGTAGAAATAAATAATAAAATAAACTATCTCTTTTTGATTGAGAATATATCAAATAAGGAAGAATTACGTTAGTTGAATATTAGATATAAATATTAATAAGCACTTTTAAATTCATTGTGTCATGAATTAAGAACACCAATGAATATTACATTATCATAATTAAATGCATTATCTACATTAATTGCACCTGAAATAAGAGATAAAAATTTATAGCCAGCTATAATATCAGCAAAAAAACTTATGTTTTAATTGAATGATATATTGGATTATGCTTAAATTGATTGTAAAAACTTTAATCTGGCTATTTCATAATTTGATACTAATGAAATTTTTGAAATTTTGAAAGAATTGTTTAATTAAGAATGTAAAGAAAAATAGTTAGATTTTCAATTAAATACAAAAGGTAATTATACAATTTGTAGTGATAAAGAGAGAATTCTTAGAATTTTAGTTAATTTAATAGATAATTCAATAAAATTTACACATTAATATGGTTCTATTATAGTGGCTATTTAGAAATAAAAATCATGTATAATATTTTCAGTAGAAGATAATGGTGTTGGTATGTCTGAAAAGATTTTAAATTAAATTAAAAGTAATTATGATTTACTATTATATGATTCATTCTTAATTTAATAAACAAAATTAGGTTTAGGATTGAAGATTTCCTAATAAATAGCTAAATTTTTATGTATTAATAATGAATTGGTAATAGAGAGTATTGAGAATGTATATACAAAGATATCATTCAAGATAGAAAATCATTAAAAAGAAGTAGGTTAATAAAATTTTCCATCTTTTTAAGGATGTAATATTACAATAGGTTGTAATTGTATTTAAATCTTAAATGTGGATGATGTCAGATTCAATCATAGTGCAATTGAAGCTTTATTATCATAACATAAAATGAAGATGGATAGTGCTTATAATGGTTAATAAGCAATAGAAAAAATTAAATAAAAATTGAATTCAACATGTTGTAAAACTTATAAGTTGATTTTTATGGATATAGAAATGCCAATAAAGAATGGTTATTAAGCTTCAAAAGATGTAATTATATATTATATAATATAAATAGATCACAGAGATTTTGAAATAATAAAATTTGAATGATTAATGTACAATTGTAATGTGTTCTGCTTATAATGGGAATGAAAATAACGATATTTTGATAAATTGTGGAATCAAAGAGATATTACCTAAGCCTATTGAACAAAAATAATTTAAACAATTACTTGATAAATATTTATTATGATTATATTTATTAATAAATGGAAATACTTATAAAATTATTGATACTCTAATTAATAATTAAGGACTTCATTGATATAGCGTTTATTTGGTAAGATAGCAATCTCATAATAATTTGCCTAAATATTATGTCACTCTGTATTGGATTAATATTATTCATCCTTAATTATTGGAAAGTTTCAATCATTTATATAAAAATTGGTCTATTGGCATTATGTGTAATAAATTCTGAACTTCCATTTTAACATAAAATTAACTTTGCCAATGTTTCCTATTTTGTGTATACTATGCTCATCTTATTTAAAATTTATTCTAGAAACCTATCAACTAGATTAATTGTCCATTTTTAAATATTATACATAACCATAAGGGCTATATTTACATAACAAAATTATGATTTACATTCTCTTTTAATCATCATCTTTTTATAACCTATTAATCATTACATCATAAATTAAATGCCTTTATAGAAATGTTCACAATTTACTTAAACATTGATTTAACAAGAGATCAAATTTAAATAAACCTAATTTGAATAAGATTAATTAATATCAAGTGAAAGTAAAAGAGATTTTATTAAATATGATTTAAATGAAAGTATAATCCTAAAAGCCCTTAATGGAGAAATAGAATCTCCTCAACAAGAACATAAATCTATTGGATTTAATAAAGATTATATGGATAAAAGAATTATAGTAAAAAAACAACCAAATAATTTACCCACAACAGTTTTATCTGAATCCAATGGTAATTTAGAACCATTAAAACTTGAAAAAAATCCTAGTACCAAATATTCAGAAATTGTCTCCATTATGAATAACTTACCTTTTGGGATATTGTTTGTTGATTAGTCTTTAAAGGTTTTAGATTTTAACCAAAGAGTAACCTAATTACTAGGTTTATCAAATCCAAATGATATTATTACATTTCTAGATTAAGCTATTTAAAGGTATTAATTATATATTATAAAAGTGGAGACTTTTGTGAATTTAGATCATCAAAAAAAGTTAGAAAACCTCAAAAATCACCCAGTAAACTGACATTTCTAAAATAGGCTTCAATTAGTCCATAAAAAAAATACTTAGATGAACATATTCCTGATGTATTTTCATAATATAACAACAATGCATCTTAATTTAAAGGAGAAAGTGATGTCAATATTGGAAAAAATCTTAAATCTATATTTTAGAATTTTAAAAAAATTCATCAAAGTCAATTAACATCTTTATCTCGAGATAATTTCCAATATATAATTAGAATGGATAATATGAATACATCTAGTGGTAAAGTTAAATATAAAAGTTTGAAACTTAAAATATTTTAATTAGAAGGTTTTGTTTAATGGGAATCTGTAGTTTATTTATTCTTTTTGGAAAATATCACTAAAAGAGAAGAATATAAATTACTTAATCATAAATATAAATTTTAATAGGCTTTATTAAACTCATTATGTCATGAATTAAGAACTCCTATTAATGGAACAGTATCTTAATTATATGCTTTAAAAGATCAATTATCATAAAGTTTAATTGAATCTCATTTAGATCCTGCTATTGTATCAGCTAAAAGATTGTAATTTCAACTAAATGATATCTTAGATTATGCTTAAATTTAATGTTCATCCTTATTTTTGAATAAATCTTGTTTCAAATTGTAAGAAGTTTATTAATAATTATATGAACTCTTTAATTTTGAATGTGTATAAAAAAATATCAATCTAATCATTGAAAATGTGAATCATATCACAATCTATACAGACAAAGAAAGATTAATTAGAATTTTTATTAATTTATTAGATAATTCAGTTAAATTTACAAATAGAGGAGGTACTATCAAATTAATTACATAAACTACTCCTTAATATTATAAATTATCAATAGAAGATGATGGATAAGGTATTACAGAAGAAATCATTGAAAAAATTGAGGAGTAAGCTGAATTGTTGTTTTAAGATTCACTTCAATATAATTCTAATAAACTTGGATTAGGTTTAAGAATTTCATAATAATTGGCTAAATATCTCTATAAAGATTAACTATTTGAGATAGATTCTATTTATGAGAAATATACTAAAGTAAGTTTTAGAGTATCAAATCAAATATAGAATTATTCAAATGAGTTTGAAATAGATAAACATTAATTTACTTAGATTTCATAATAATGTGATTGTAGCAAGATATTGATAGTTGATGATATAGGATGCAATCATTTTGCCTTATAAGTTTTACTTAAAAAGTTTAAGTTGAAAACTGACAGTGCTTATAATGGTAATTCAGCAATCGATTTAGTCAAAGAAAGATTATCTTAAAAATGTTGTAAGACTTATAGATTAATCTTTATGGATATAGAAATGCCTGGTAAAAATGGGTTTTAAGCATCTTAAGAAGTAAGAATTTTAATATGTAGATAACTTAATTACTGAAAGAGCGAAATTTGAATGAGATTTCTATAATAACAATGTATTCAGCATATTCTGGAGATGAAGATGTACTTATAGCCAGTCAATGTGGTATGAAAGAACGTATTTCTAAACCAACTGATATCCAAAAATTAGAATATCTTGTTAATAAGTACCTACTTTGAATATTATATATATATACATATATGTAGTCTCTTAATAATTTATTTTATAGTAATGTAAAATGATACTAATAAAAGAGTGGCCTATTTTTATCATCCATAAATAGGGAGATATCATTATGGTAAGGAACATCCAATGAAACCAAAAAGAATTGCAATGGCGCATAATTTAATTGTGAATTATGGGTAATGTATTATAAATAAGTCTTAGTTTATATCGAAACCTGGATGTATATATGAATAGATAGGCTTCATTGAAAGAGATGGAGAAATTTCATGAACCAGAATACTTGCAATATTTAAGTCAATTCACAAGTGTTAGAAGTCAAATTGTCAATGAGTATTAACACTATAATCAACAACCTAATATCACTCATTTTACTAGTCACATCTATAATGAGTTTGATTTGTTAGATTATAATATACCACACACTCATGAACCCATAGAAACTAATAATAATTATCCACAACCAAATAGTTTCAGAGTAGGAGACTCCACTGATAACCCTAGCTTTCCAGGTCTATATGATTTTTGTCAATTGTCTGCAGGAGGATCAATTGATGCTGCTCATGTGTTAATTTCATAAGATGCAGAAATAGCCATTAATTATTCAGGAGGTTTGCATCATGCAAAGAAAAGAGAAGCTAGTGGGTTTTGTTATGTCAATGACATTGTTATAGCTATATTGGAATTGTTGAGAGTGCATTAGAGAGTGTTGTATGTTGATATTGATGTACATCATGGAGATGGAGTTGAAGAGGCTTTTCTTTTAACAAATAGAGTGATGACTTGTTCATTCCATCAATATGGAGATGATTTCTTTCCAGGTTCAGGAGATATTGATAGTTATGGAGAAGGATTAGGTAGATATCATGCTCTCAATATCCCTTTGAAAATAGGGATGAATGATGAAACATTTACAGAAATCTTTTAGAAAATCATTACCTAAGTTATGGATATCTATAGACCAGAAGCTGTAGTCTTATAATGTGGAGCTGATTCATTATGTCATGATAGATTGGGTGGATATAATTTATCAACTAAAGGTCATGGTGCTTGTGTTGAATTTATGATCAAATATAGTGTTCCTATCTTGGTTTTAGGAGGAGGAGGATATACAATATAAAATGTAGCTAGATGTTGGGCATATGAAACTGGATTGTGTTTAAACAAAAAAATTGATGCTCCAATTCCAACTTCTGAAATCTATTATGAATATTATGCTCCAGACTATAAATTGCATTTCCCAATCAAATAAAATGTAGAAAATAAGAACAAGAAAGAAGAACTATAAAGAATAGTAGAGAAAATATATGGGTATCTAAAATCTATTGAACCTGCTCCAGGGATCTCCTTTCATGATTTACCTTAACCATTTTATCCAGAGATAAATGTAGAAGAAGGTATTTTTATTATATAATTCTTAGAAATAAATCCAGATTAACGTTATGAATAAACATTAAATTAATTTGAGGGTTCCAACTATGAAGAAGGAAATGAAATTTTAGTCGATCCATCAAATGGATTCTCTATTCATAGAAGAGAATGATCAACTATATATATATATTTAATCAATTTTTTAATGACTCATTCTTTCATGAGTAGATTAACTAAAGAGTCAATTGAAACCTAATTCTCTTTCCCTTTAACACTATTTAATATTAACTAAAAGTCTTTTTCAACCTATTCATCTCCTATCTATTATACAATTCCCATTAATTCTTTAGTATCAATGAATCCTGTGTTGTGTTCATCAAATACTTTTACACTAGCTTCAATCTCCTATTTTACAGGTCTCTTATCTTTTAATTATATCAACAGTTTAAATAAATCATCTTTGCTTATCTTTTCTTTAACCTATAGATCATTTATCTCTTTATCAGATATTAACAAACCTGCTGCTCTCAATATGAATGGTAAATCTAATTAATTTTATTAATTTACCCTTAGAACTGATGAACCCCTTCATTTCTTTATCATGAAATAGAAATAATAATTCAAACCTTTGTACTTTTTCAGCAGAATATATTTGTTTTAATTAAGTATTCATAATAATTAGTCATCTATCATTCAACTAAGATCATCTCAATCATTAAATTCCTCCTTCTGATTATCTTCTTCTATTATGAGACCTTTCTATTAATTATCAGATGATATAAGTTTCTTATGAACCCTTGTTATGGGTCTCACATTTTAATCTATAATTTTGCCAACCTTATAAATCAATTCCATCTCTGGCCCTAACATAGAGATTAATTAAGTATTTAAAGTTTCCTATTGATGTTTATTTTTGAAGATTTCATCATATGCCTAATCTATTTATTAATTATCTTACACTATAAATTTGTTAATATACATAATTATTAAGTGGTTATGGAATAAAACTTGCTCTTTTATGTGGTCTAATTTATCCTGTATTCTTTTCTTTTTTATTTTATCTTTTCATCTTCATCATCATTTTAGCATATATTAGAAATTCAACCTATCTTATTTTTACTAAATAAATATTACTTATCTTTTGTAGTTTTATGTTAAGATTCAACCATATTTCTATCTATTTTTAGATCTTCATCTTCTAATGTTATTAATTTCTTTGGAGTGAAATTAAACATAACCAATTATTTTGGTGTTAATAATACCTCTTTCAATTTATCAATTTCATTCAATCTAGACAATATTGTATATATATCTGACTATGAAATAATTTATTCACTATATTTGAGATAATGTCTTACTAAGCTTTATTCATTAATTTAACTTTTGGAACATCTTTAAATAGTAAATTGCATGTTATATAATTCAAAAAGATTTATATATCTAATGATATTGGTTACTTTTTCTCAAACATCTTTTACAATTAATTTGAAAAGTAATCTAAACCAGTTGTAAAACTTAATCTAATTGCCAAACTATCCTTCTAAAAATTTTTCTATTCTTCTTTAAATGATTCAATACAATTATCACATTGATCATTTTCAGTCATTATTCTTTAATTTGATGTCTATATCTTTGAATCAAGTCCTACCCTTTCATTTTTCTATTGTTCTGCTAAAATTTATAAATTCTCTGAATAAATATTCTTTTAATATGAATCATCAATACTAAAATCATAAATTCTATTTGACAATTCAACCATATCTACAAGATTAATTAATATATATACATTTAACTCTATTATATATAGTTACCAATAATCCAATAAAAAATGTCACTATTTAGAGAATTCCACCTATATTAGATAATAATTCATCTAATTTTTAATATTATCTTAAAAATTTTGTTTTAAAAGGTTTTTTTCTTAATTACAATTTTGCTAATGAATTTTCTTCTATCTCAGTAATTTCTTGTTGAATATCTGATGAATCTAAAACAAAAAATGTCCTTTCTTCAATCATACTAAATGATTATTTCAAATATACACATACCTAATTGGTAATAGACTTTCATCATTTTGGAATTCATACTTTGTAAAATAAATGTTAGCAAACTTAGTTGAATTTAAATTAAAAGTAAATGATAAAGAATCATCTAAAAAGGGTTAAATATAAGAATCTTTAGGTTTATAAGGATTGATATTCTTAACGTAAATAAATTAGATACTTAATTAACTGTATACAATCTGACTTTAAAACTAGTATCAATAGGATCATCACATATTGGGTTCCATAAGTTCTATGAATTATTTTAACATTATGTAATAGATAGTTCTATGAAATCAAATTAATTGCCTAAATTTATAGGATATTAATTTTACTTGAGTATGTACCTCCTATCAAGATGTTAGTATTTATGCTATCATACTTACAAATATATGTACCTTGGACATAAAAAGTCTGACAGATGAAGTTATTAAAATTACTAAGTAAAATTGATTTGGTATTCTGCAAATATTTACGTGTAACGATCTAAAGTACATGGAACTAATTGAATGTCTATAGTTTCTTTCTTGACATCGCCTTCTGTGTTTCTAAAGTAGAGTCTTAGATGGGCATTAAGCATTACTTTTATTGCATAGTGATATTAAAGTATGGTCTTTAAATAAAATTTAGCTATTCGATTTTAATGGCGAAAAGAAAGTGTGAATCTTGAAATGAGATTGTATCAATTAAATCTTCATACTCGGATATAGAGACTACTTTCAATTACTCTTTTTGAATGAAAGAAATAAAATTTGTAATGAAAATGAGACTCATTACACTCATAACTGCAATAGAAGCACATCCTCCAAAGATTGTTTTATAATTGGCTTGTCTATTGATTCTGAGGAATACAAGTTATCCAAATATATCTAGTTTTGCAATACCTAATATAGAAAATATATGTGTAACCAGCTGATACTGAATCCATAAGCTAAATAAATTTAGTTTAATATAATTAATATAGATATCAAGTTAGGTGAAGATTGCAAATTCTAGATAAGTATTTTAGTTATTAATGGTAAGAATGATGATAAAATGAGAAAAGTTTAAAGACAAAAGAGAATATAAAAATCTGATTATAATAAATCTCTATAAGAATGATTTCTATTAATAATAAAATAGATAAGACAGGGTATTTAGATATGATATGAAAAGATGGAGAAAATTAATTAATGATCAATAATTAATAAAATGATTAATAAAACCACGCAATTTTAATTTCTATTTTTCATTCACTAAATTACATTTTGAGATCACTGTGAAATGGAACATTTAAGTAATGTGAGTTTAGAAGGAATCTTTCAAGTACAAATTGGAGAATAATTGAGTAATGCATATTCTAAGATGAAACTCTAAAACTTGATAATAAAACAAGGATTTATAAATATTTTATTATAAGACACAAATAACTGATTACTATTATCGAAAGCTATAATTTACTTATTAATATATGATCATAATAATTTTGAAGTATAAAATTAAAATAGATGAGATAATTATAACTTTATAGAGATATAATTGAACTAATTAAAGTATTTAAGAATTTAATATATTTAAATTGACTTTTTATAAAAATTATAGATTGAGTAAGTTGATTTCATAAGAAACCTACTCAAAAACAAGTACTTTTATAATAAGTAAGAGGTTTTTTTTGACAGAAAATACTAAAACCAATAAATTATGTGTTTTAATTATAATAAAGTTTCAAAAGTTAAAAAAACATATAATGGTTTAAGAATGAATTAAAATACATAGATTGATGAAACATAAATAAGTAATGATCTTAATTAAGGATTATACTTCATTAGTTTTTATAGAAGTCTTTCATAGAGACATAAACTAAAGTATATCTTAATTAAGAAGATTTAGTTATTTTTTATTTTGATGATAGATTTTTAATAATTTTGATGACAATCATGCAACATCTGAATTTGCAACTTCAGATTTTTTATTAGCCTTATATTTATAATAATGTGGTAGTTATATTTTAGATTTACTTTCTACACTCTCATACGGTTAGTTATTAATATACTGATTGGAATCATCTGATTTTTTAAAAGTTATAAAAATGACTTAAACTAAAGTATTACAGGAATGAAAAATTGGAAACCAACATAAAGAATCTCTATGATTAAAATGAATGATTTAATTTGTTAAAGAAAATGCTTGGGTCAAATATCTGGTTGAAAAGAATTAATATAGAAAATAATTTAAATTTTTAATAAATCAATTTGCCTTAAACTCATAAGGTTAGAGAAAATAATACACATTCTATAGTTATGACTAAAAGCTATACTAAATTGTAGGTACTCAAAAATAATAATTTAGAGTTTAGAAAGAAAATATTAAAAATAATATGATGTTGATATAATATTTCAATTAGAAATTTACAAATTTTACAGATAAGTAAATTGAATTTGTATATGCTTATTTATTTTATGATATTTTTAAAGATTAAAAATCATACTAAAGTATAATTATTATTATTTATTAATGTCAACAGGTTATGAACGAATTGACCAAGAAACTCTCAGAAGAGACGATCAACTAAATGGATTATTATAGAGAATTAGAGAAGATGTTATGAAAGGATATATTGTTGAGGTCAAAACTAGAGCTAATACTTATAATCAAGTAATGAAGTTAATCAAATTAGTTAGACAACAATTCTAAATAAAGTTCTAGATTATCATCAATGAGCAATTCAATAGTTAAACAACCTATGATTTAATAAAATAATTAAGTTAAAGACTTAAATGAAATAGCTGTTGTCTCTTAGCGAGATCAATAATAAATGTCAAATCTATCTAAAACATTCATTGCTTCTCCCCCAAAAGTTAGAAGTGAGATTGTGAAACCAGTTGTTTTAAACTATGAATTTTCTCCAGATCAAACTTAAAATTCAATACCATAAAAAGAAGAACTTTAAACTCCTAAAACAATATCTCAATAATTAGATGATATAGAAATGAATGCAGATAAAGGTGATTTTTAAAACTATATCAAAATCTTAAAGTCAATCACTACTTAACTCTAAAAGTCAATGATAGAAAATGATCATGATTGCAACCATATGCTCAATTAAGCAATATAGACTGTTAGAACTATGTGTTTATTAACAAGATTTTATAAATAAGTAGGTGATTTCAAGAATGCTATTAAATAATTAAAAACTATATAGAAACAGTTCAAGATTTTAGAACCAAATTTAGAAGGAAAAATTTTAATTGAATTAGGAAAATTACACTTTCTCAATTAAGCTTATTAAAATGCTCAATCCTCATTTTATGAAGCTCTTTAATATTATGAAAAATTATAATGGAAATCAGAAATAGCTTATATCTTGTTGTTGATGGCAAAATTACATTCTTGGACTAGTAATTGATAAATTATATTTAGAAAATTTCGATCTCTCTAAAAAATTAATTTATGGTGCCATAGCTATTCTTAAAGAATTCGTTCCAGATGATCATGAATTTATAGCTGAGGCTTATGTTTCATTAGGTGAATGCAATTATATTTAAAAAAATACAGATGAAGCTATTGAATTTCTAATGAAGGCAGTTAACATTAAATATAAAATTTATAAGGACTATAAACATCTTAAATTTGTTGAAGTATTCAATCTTCTAGGATTAACATATGGATTAGTGCCAGATATTTAATAATCACTCAATTACTTTATTTAAGCATTATAATGTTTTCAGTAAAATATTCAAATATAATTAGATAAAACTGTATTTAAAGAGCATAAATTCTTAATAATATAGCTGTGATCTATTAATCATAAGGAGATGTAGACAAAGCTAGCAAATGTCATTTCAGGGCTAAAGAAATATACTCAACTTTCTTACCAAGTTAGCATAATTAGATGTAAAGATTAATTTTAAATTAAACTTGTATATCTCCCCCAATTTGAAGCAAATATTTAAAATAATATAAATATATAATCATTAATTTCTTCTATTTCCTTTGTCATTTAGTTAATTTATTAAGAACTATTAATCATATTTATTTTTAGAGTTTTATCAAATTTCTTTTTGATATTGGAATTCCTTTTTGTATGATAAAAATATCATTATATGTCTAACTAATATAAAAACTACATACATATATATATAGATCCAACTAATTATTCTATAGTTGTAATACATAAATAACGAGATTTGAATGATGATAAATATTTATATAAATAATTATAACTAATAAGCTCTAGATTTAATATCTGAATTGATTTTCTAGATGGCTAATTTCAATTTAGATATTGATTTTTTGTATGCTATTTTAGAAATAATCTACTTATTTCTCTTTAGTTAATATGAAATGTTGCGTTTAGTATTCTAAGAAAATCTTTAATTAAATATAACTAATTTAAAAAGACTGATAATATGCATCTATAGATAAATAATCATTAAACGCTATCTGATCTTTATGAGAATAACTTATCTACTAATTTATCTTAAGCTTTTTGTTTTAAGAATTATTTCGAATTAGTTTTGCTCATTATTTTATTATTAATTAATCCATATGGATCATTTACTTTTATACTACGTTTTCTTTCTCCTTATGCAGATACTACACTACATCTTGAGTTTGTTCTGCTATCTCTTGTTATATTCATTGATTTTTCCTTTAAAGGTATAATTAATTTGTATTGCATAGAATTTGCACTCTATGTATGTTTTAATTTACTAGTATTGTTAAATTAACTAATTATATTGATTATTTTTGAAAAGTCTTAAGTATTGGCTTAAGTCAATTATTTTAAGCTTTTATTTGGTTATTTAATTGACTAAGTCATTTGACTACTATCTTGAGTTGTAGTTGTATGTGTATTACGTCTTTAGGTAATATTGGAGGTTATTTTTATTGGTTACTTAAGAAATCCTTTAAAGTCATCAAAATAATAAGATGGCATTGAGATTTCTCTTTTTTTTATTTTTTAGGGCATTTTAAGAGTTCCATTGTTACCAATATCTGGATTAAAGAACTAAGCTGTTTGTTAAAATTGTGCAAAGCTTTAATCAATACAAGACATTCAAAAAAATGTGATTGTTAAAAATATAAATTACACATCTCAATTATACTATTAAGGCATTTTATATTCGAAATCACCCAATTTCTCTCTCCTTATATAACCAACATAAGGCATAACTTCTATCCACACTTCAAAATTCACTGTAGCATTACGCAATTATTTATGAATATCTTTGAGTGGATATTCAGCTCTTTGATTTTTCAAAACAAGCTAAGATTTTATTTAAAAATACTTTAGATGAAGTACTCCAACTATTAGGATCATCTGGTCTAGAAATGATTTTATCATATATCACACAATCTGATTCATACTATTAAAATTTATAGAAATTCATTACTCCTTTCTCCTAATGTAAATGATGAACATTCACATATAAAAATAATTGTTTCAAGTTCCAATTATACACTGGTTCAAAATCTAATAATAATATTACGTGTATAAAAAACCTGCCTCTAATGAAAATTTAAATGTCACTTAATCCCAATCGGTTACACCTCCATTATAATAAGTGGCCTTGAAATGATGACTAAACAGAATAATCATTTAATCTTCAATACAATTTATCTGCACTCAATATCTTTAGATCTACTGTTGGCTTTCCAGTCTTAAAGAAATATGCTGTACCCTAATTAAGCAATGATAACACGACTTCTTTAGTATAATCAATATACCTAATGTCCATGATGTAAAGAACACGATTTAATTAAAACGAGCTGTAATTGAATACATTATTTAATTATTTATCAATATTAAGTATTACCCAATTCTCTTAGTTTTCTAAAATTCTCTAAAGCACGTGACTCTTATTTCTTTTCCTTTTTTAATGTTACTTAAAATGCTAAGTCTTTCCTTATCTCTACTTTAAATGTTAAAGCTGTAATTTTTATTTATTTTAATGCTTCTCTTAAAATTCCATTTATTTTTAATATTATCAACTTTAATTATAGTTTTTTAGCTATCTTTCCATATCTTATTTTTGGATTTAAATGTCTAAATACAGCTCTTTTTAAATATATTTATCTTTGTAAATTTGCCATATTCTTTTATACATACACAACACTCTTTATATGTTTAATAGATAACAATTACTAATGTTTTCTCTAGATCGATAGAATATTGATCATATTAGATATTTTTGATTTTCTATTGATTTATTGCAATGCTATTTTCATTAAATATCTTTAATATAATTTCTTAAAGTAATCCAATTTAAATGTACCAGCTATACATTATTAATTTAATCTATTGATTTTCTTTTTTAATTTCAATTTGAATTCTTATAAATAATATTTCTGCAAAGTCTTCTTTAACTATTCAAATCCTTTCAAAAATGGATATTATTTTTTATAATTATTAAGATATTCTTAAGTACATTCATCAAATTTTGATTAAGTAGATACTGAATAACTAGTAGGTTTAAGTATGCTTTTCTAAACACTAGCATTACTTTTATTGATTAATGAAAAATTTTATTGTGGTGGTTCTACATATTATTTTATTCTGTCTTCTTAAGGTCTAAATGTTGTATTTTGAGTCAAAGTACTTTGATATATAAAATCTAGGATCCCAAGATTATAAGCTTAGTTTAAAGAGAAAGTAGGAAACTATTGATTATCTTCATATGATATAAAAGCTTAAAGAACTTCTTATTAATAATATCCTTCATCATCTGCAAATTTCTATAGATCTGTATGTTAAGATTACATGGCTTAATTAGCAAAGAAAATATTAATATTATTACTTTTGAATTAATCTCTTTCGAATTTACAGATATGCTTTAAGATTATATCAGCAATAGATTTTTTAAATTATAGGTTTTACAATTATTGACATAAACCTTAAATTTCATCTTTATTTTCATTTTCTAATTAATCTATTATCATTAAAAGCTTCTGTATATAATTTATTGATCTATTGTTAAATATAGGAGTTAATTATTTATTGTTAAAATGTACAAAATATGCTAATACATGAAAACCATATGTTTGCATTTTAATTTAATATTCTTAAGTTAGTTATCTATTTATTTTGTCATTGTCCAACTATTATAAATTCATAAGTATGCACATCAAAGAATAACCATAATTCAAATTAGAAGTAAAAGGATTTCCAGCTACAAACAAACACTATAATGATTATGGAACATGTTAGAATTCCTTTATACTTTCAATCTGATTGTTAGACAAATTTAAGTATTGTAAATTTGTAAATTATTCTAATCCATCTAATTTTACTATTTTGTTTCCTGTGAGATGTAACTTAGTTCTATTATAATCTACCAAATCACATACATGTTTTTAAATGTATTAGAATATCCAATTGTTTGAATACCAAAATCACTCAAAGTTATAGTATCAGATTTTATGTATTATTATTTCTAGTTGATAATTTCAGATAACATTTTAATTATATAAACAATATAAATTTGGAAAATAAAATCAATTGAAAAATTATGAAAATAAATTAAATAACAAGATTTAATACATATAATTATATTGACAAAGATATAATCAAAAAATCTTAATTTAATTATTGATAAAAGGGCATAAAATTTCCTCATTTAACTCAATTTTAATATCTAGAAATAAATAAATTTATTACAATTTTCTTTTATAGAACACCTTCTAATTATAAGAGCAAAGTAAAATTCGAATTTTTGATAAAGGATAGTAATGTTATCTTATCTAAAGAATCCTTCGAATACTATATGGACTTAATAATCAAAATCTCTGTATATATCGACTTAGATACACTTTTTACTAGTATTACCAAATATAATAAGTAAAAATAGATGAAGAACATCTATTAAAGTTTTAACTTCACATTCTAAGCCATATGTTTAAATAGTTAAGTAGCGTTTATATTCATAAGCTATTTTCTTTATATAATTGTTCAGATTAATTTATTGTATTTATTTCTTTTGTGAATTAATTTTCCTATCAAATATTTGATGTGGATAAATTATGATAACTAAAAGAATTTTCTTTTGTTATATTACTTATCAAAATCTATAATGTTAATTAAATTTTTAAGTATTTTAAGAATAATAGTTGATTGAGATAGAATATCATTATTAGATTTACTTTAATCTTCATTGACTAAAAGAATGATTGGTTTATCTCCAAAAAATAGTGAAAAATTAAATTAAATTAATTTCTTTTCATACTTGACAAGAATTTATTAATTAATAACATCTTCTTAATTTTTTTTATGTTAATTAATTTATTAAAAAAAGAAATTCTGAATTGGTTGATTATTGCATTTAGCTTAGCGAATATATTCATAAAAAGTATCAAATGAAGTGTTTTAAGGTAGAATAGTTTATATGACTTTTTTTATTTTAAACTCTTCATCATCATAATGTAATAATACAAATTTCTTATTATTATTTAATATTTATTGAAATATTTTTTCCCATTTATTATCAACTAAAGTCAAAATAAACTAAGATCGTTTGGCTTTATTAAAATTATATAAGTAATAAATCCATACTAAATGAAGTGCAGCAGTTATAATCATAACATTTATATTCTCTAAATCTCCAGAACTTAAGAAAAAATAAAGTCTCATTCCCAAAGTTATGATTGTTCCAATAGCAGCTTCAGGAAATTCTCCCATTATACTATTTAATATATTTGCTGTCACTTAATTCCCACCATTATAACTCTAAGCAATTAAGTCAGTAAAAACATCATATTAAAGAACATAAAATGTAAAGATAATATTTATTGCTGACTAAGTTATCCTTAATTTTTAACTATTTTCAAATTTTAGAACATTATAAATCAATATAATAAGCAACATAGTAATATGTGGATATAAATTATTAATATTTCCTGAGATTATCATTGTACAAATTTTAATTAGCAATCCTATTGTTAATGTATAAGAAAATAGTTTAAATTAAAATATTCTTTGTGATATTTGATGATTTTTTTGATAGAGGTCTTCAATATTTTTATTTCTAAAAAAACATGTGTATTTATTCATGTTAAATTAATTAAAAAAACAATTATTTTGATACCACACCTTTATTTAAAAAAGATTATAATTAATTGGCTAATTCATTCTTCAAGTATAATAACTAAATTTCAGGAATAGTATAATATGTGGTGATTTATTTATATTAATAAAAAGATAAGGGATTAAAAGTATAAATAGATAAAAGTTTGTAATGGAAATTTAGATCTATAAAGGTTCAAATTGAGTATAAATAAAATGATAAATAAAAGCAAAAAATAATTTAATCAATGAATAAAGAACTTAATAATTATAAAAATGAGTAGCAAAATTTGATAATTACAACAGATAGAAAGAATAAAGAAAGTTGGTTTGGGAGATTGTTTCTTTTGAATATTTATTCACTGATAGAAGTTTAAAAATATTTTATTATTAGAATGCATAATCTCATTAATTAAATGAAGAAGAATTAGAAGAATATTTTATTTAATAATCATCACAATCATTGCATGAATAATTTTCAGAATTCTAATAATAAAACTTACGTTCTAGTTTAACAATTTAGCTGTTAAAGTTTTTTGTTAGTATATTTATAGTAATTATTAGAAAGGTTCTTAAAAATATATTTTATACAAATTATTTAATTGTGTAGTCAACTTTTAATGCCATTAATAATCCATTATGTTTTGATTTATGTTTCTAATGAAGAAAAAACAAAATCAGATGGTATTATTCTAATTTCAATTATTTTTGCAGTAAGAATTATAGGTATATTATCATAATCTCATTCAAAATTGATGTTAGTAAATATCATTATATATATTAAAGATTTTAGCTGGATAAGATGCTATGGCAATAGTGAGTATGTAGATTATGAATAAATGTTTAAAATTATCAACTTTAAGCAATACATAACGTACTATAGGAGAAATAACAAATTTAATTTAAGTAGATGCATAAAAAATGGTATATGCTTCAAATAATCTATTGAATATATCAATCATTCCAATATAAACATGTAAATAATTATTAATATAATAGTAATTACTTTGATCTACATATATAGAGAAATAGGTGTTACAGTATTTGTTGGTATAACCATAATAGTTTTGACATTAATTGCAAATCATTTTCTTGGCAAATAGTTATTATTGTCTTAAAAGGCTGTTCTAAAAAGTAAGGATGATAGAATCAAATAAACTAATGAAGTTTTCTAATAAATAAAATTCATAAAAATAAATGCATATGAATCTATATTTTAAAATAAAATAGAATAATTGAGAGAAGCAGAAAGAATATGTATAAAGAAGAGATTAGATCATTTCTCTTTTAATGTATTTTTTGGTTGGCTTTCTCCTTAATTGATATTAAGTTTAAGTTTTGGTGTTTATGTTTATTTAGGAAATGAATTAACTCCTAGTAAAGTATTTCCCATTATTAGTTTGCTTTTAATGTTGGCATCTAATTTATAAATATTACCAATTTCATACAATTCATTATAAGAAGCATTATTATCATTAAAAAGAGTATCAACATTTTTGGAGACAGATGAAATCATGAATAAATGCATAGAATAATTAGATTATAGAGATACTAATATAGCAATAAAAATAGAATAAGGAAATTTTAATTGGAATAGAAATTAGATAGAGAAAGAGAGTTCTCCAATTTTAAAGAATATTTCTTTAATAATTTAGCCATCTTAATTTATATCTTTGATAGGAGATATTGGTAGTGGAAAATCATCCTTAATTTAAGCTCTAATAGGAGAGATGGTTTATAAAGAGGGACATTAATAGCCTCATGTATAAATATATGGGGATATAGCATATGTTGGATAGAAAGCATGGATATAAAATGGGAGTGTGAAGGATAATATTTTATTTGGTAAAGAGTTTCATTAAATATCTTATGAAAATGCAATTTATTATTCTTGTTTAAATTAAGATTTAGAAATATTAATAGATGGAGATTCAACAATAATTGGAGAAAAAGGAATTAATTTATCAGGTGGTTAAAAAGCAAGAATAAGTTTAGCAAGAGCAATTTATAGTGATGCCTCTATATATTTATTAGATGATCCATTAAGTGCTGTTGATATACATGTTGCCAATTTTATAATGAAAGAATGTTTCCTTAAATATTTAAAGGATAAAACTAGGATGTTATGTACTCATGCTTTGAGCTATTGTTAATTTACTGATAAAATCTATCTTATATAAAATGGAGAGATTATAGATTAAGGGAATTATCAATATATGAAATAAAATTAAAAGTTTTTAGAAATAGAATAAAAGTTTAAAACTGAAACAGAAGAACTTATAGAAAATGATTTATAGAAGAATTAAATATAAAATGATATGTTATATATGAATACATCTTCTGCAACAAAAAAATAAAAAGAATTCAAAGATAAAGAAGAATTAATATTAAAAGAAGATCGTTAATCTGGAGATATTGATATTTCTGTTTATTAGAAGTATTTTTTATATAATGGGGGTTGTATAAATTATATGTTCTTATTTATTGTAATGATAATGTGGATAATTGTTTAATTATTCTCTAATCTTTGGATTGCACATTGGTCAGAAGATTTATATTATTTAGATTACAATCAAAAGACTTATATGATTGTTTATTTGTGTTTAGGAATATCTTAAGCAATATTAGCATATGGTAGAGCAGCTTCAATTGCTAATTCAAGTGTTAAATCTACAACAATAATACATAATCAAATTATTAAATGTTTACTTAATGCTCCTTAATGTGAATTTTTTGAAAGAGTTCCTACAGGAAGAATCATGAATAGATTAACAAAGGATATAAATTCTTTAGATATAGAAATCAATATGAATTTAAGTTTTGTATCAACTAAAATAAGTTAAATTGTAAGTTCTACAATAATTGGTTTAATAGCTACAACAAAATTGATAATAATACCATTACTATTTTTCTTCTATTTAAGTATCAAAATTTAAAGAATTTATATGAAAGCTAGTAGAGAATTATAAAGATTAGAATTAATAAGTAAAAGTCCAATATTGAGTTATTTTGTAGAATCATTATAAGGTTTATCAACTATAAGAGCTTTCTAAAAGTCTTTATTATTTCTATCTAATTTTAGTCAAAAATTAGATAGAAATAGATAAATTATATTTATTTCTAATCATGCAAGTTGTTGGTTTAATTAAATTTTAGGATTTTTAAGTTTAATTGTAAATATGTTTGCCATTATTTATTGTATACTTTTTTCTGATAATGCTCCATTTGCTGGTTTAATTTTAACCTATGTATCCAACTTAGATATTAATACTTAACAAATGATTGATACATTAGGATTAATAGAAAATAATATGATATCATTTGAAAGATGTCTAGATTTCACTAAAGTTCCTTAAGAAAAACAAAATCAAAATTAACCACCTTAAAATTGGCCAATATATGGGAAGATAGAATTTAAAGATTTATCTGTTAGATATAGACCTAATTTACCATTTGCATTAAAAGAATTTTCATATATTATTAATTAAAATGAAAAAATAGGAATTGTTGGTAGAACTGGAGCAGGAAAATCTACTATTACACTCAGTTTAATAAGAATATTAGAGGCTTATGAAGGTCAAATTCTAATTGATGATATTGATATTTCTTAGATTTCATTGTAGAAACTTAGATCTTCAATTACTTCTATTTAATAAGATGCTGTTATTTTTCATGGAACTATTAGATAAAATTTAGATCCTTTAGGATAATGTCATGATGATGATATAACAAAAGTCTTATATGATTGTTGTTTAGAGAAACTTTTAAATGAAAGAAATGGTTTGGATACAATGATTAATGAAAGTGGAGATAATTTAAGTGCTGGAGAAAAGTAATTGATTTGTATCGCTCGAGCTATTCTTAAAAAAGCTAAAATTATATTGATAGATGAAGCAACTGCCAATATAGATTTAGAGACTGAAGAAAAAATCTAAAAAGCTATAGCAATAGCTTTTAGAGATTGTACAGTAATAACAATTGCACATCGTATTAATACAATCATGAAATGTGATAAGTATAAAATTATATTAATTAAGAATACTTGTCATAGATAATGGTATATTAATAGAATAAGGAGTAACCAAAGATTTGTTAAATAATAAATCCTCTGTTTTTTATAATATATATTAAGAGGTAATGAATGGTTAAAAATCGATTATATGACTCTAAAAACAAGAGTTCAAATAGTGTAACTATATATCATTTATTTTATATATTTTATAGATCTATAAGAATATTAAAAAAAAATAGATTATATTTTTTAAATTAATTCTCTTTACTTTTTATTAAATATTTATTATTATCTTTTTCTTTCTTCATTATATTCAAAATAATAATAAATATAATATTAAAGGATCCTTTTGATAAAATTTATTTATTCTTTTGTTATCAAGAAATTAATATTAATTTACAATTATTATTTGATTAATATATAGAATATATATATATTAATACTAATAAATCTAATACAAAATAATATATAAATATAAAACAATTAATTTATCATGTATAATACTGAGTTTTGGGTAAAATATGTGTTTAGAGTATTACATATTGGAAGTGTCACAGCTTTAGGCGGTCGTATAATATATGATTATTTATGGCCTGATTAAGCAGAGATAACAAAAGCTTAAATATTATTTGCAGGAATTTCAGGATTCCTAATGATTTTAGCAGGAATTGTTAACATATTTTTATTAAAGGGAAAAGAAAAGTTAAAATCTAAAAATAAGTTTTGGGCTGGTACTTTACATTTGAAAGCAATTACAAGTAATAATATTATTAATAATAATAGCCATAAT